AGTTAGATAGATAGATAGATAGATAGATAGATAGATAGATAGATAGATAGATAGATAGATAGATAGATAGATAGATAGATAGATAGATAGATATATAGATAAATAGATAGATAGATAGTTAGATATGTCTATAGTTTGTTAATGTTTGAGCGCTCAATCAGCTGCTTGCACTGTATGCTACGCGTCAATCAAAGTACTTACACTTTTTTCCATTTTTATTTATGTTATTTATTCGACAAATATCATACTCATTATTTCTAAAAGTCATAAAATTGTGTTGATTAATCTACTAACGAGTGTTGAGAGAAGCGTCATCTTAACCCTGCCCGTACTCAAAAATTAAGGGAAGCGTCACTTTAAGCCTACCTACCCACCTCTTCATTGTACACGAGTCCAGTGGGAAATTCACCCATGATAAACCTGTCCAAGACCCGTGAGGGGGGAAGCATCGGACTGTTGGTCAGGAAAATCCACTCCGCGCCAGACACGATGGCGAACATGTAGGCTAACATTTTGTAACTGGGAGCTTCAGGCGTGACGAACTCCGCCTGTCCAATGGCGGCTCCCGTGGGGGGGCCAGCGTCCACTGAAGTTTCACGGAGCCCGTCTTGGTCGAAGAAGATACAGGACTCACAACTGTGGCAAAATATTATGTTTGGACTCACAACTGTTGCAAAATAATTCATGCCAAGACTCACAACTGTGGCAAAATATTGTGGTGATTATTGAAAGACTGTTTTATGCGCCCTTACATTCGGTGTTATGCATCATGTATTGAAATTTTAACATAACTTGGAAAAGCAAATGAATAGAAGTAATACGTTTAATCACTTATCACTACAAAAATGCAAGAAAGCAGTACAGCGTCTTTGGGCCTGTGTCAGGGGCGGCTCGCGGGGCTAAAAAGTGGGCGTGCACAATAATAATTAAGCTATCGCTTGCTGAAGATAGTCAAGGGCATAGTAAATGAGACGGTGTATAATTTTAGGATCTTTGGGTTGGTGAGGGAGGGCCTCGTGGTTTTATTTTCATTCTTTTTACTTGTCGCTTTGATTTCTCGTACTAAATTTGTTTGTTGTTAAACATCAATTTTGTTCTTCCTGTATTGGAACTGAACAGTCAAGTACACGTAATAACTTTCCCTACTCCACATCAAAACCATTCAAAGGCACAACTCATACCTCCCTCAGGTTCACGGCTACAGATTCACTTAAAATAATGGCAAGACAAACAATGAACCAATCACAATTCACTTGAGCACTCCGCTAGATTGCTCCGGGGCTTACATAATACTGGCAAAGAAGAGCGTAGTGTCAATCGTGTTTATTTTTTGACTGCCTACTGTGGGCTATGTTTCGGTGCTCTTCGGCAGGAGCACATTTGAGACGTGCCGCTTATTAATATTAATGTACCACCAAACTCGCTAGGAGTGTCGTCATCGCTTGGGTTATCCCCAAGAGCGATTTATAGGTCAGGTTACGCAGTTGAATATCCTTTTCTGTTTAGCTAAAGGCATAGTAGATGTTTTATCGACGCTATAGACATAGAAATGACAGTTATGGCGCCAGTAAGGACTTTTGTTTTGATATAATTTTGGGCTTGTGTTTGTTTCTGGTTTCTTTTATTTTATTATTGAGGTTGTTTTACGTAACAGAACATTCACAAATATTGGGCGGCACTGCACGACCGTGCTCTATGGACAAACTGCGCCTGGCCTGTGTGTGTGTGAGTGTGTGTTTGTGCGGGCGTGTTTGTGTGTGTGTGTGTGTGTGTGTGTGTGTGTGTGTGTGTGTTTGAGTATGTGTGTATGTGTGTGTATGTGTGTGTGTATGTGTTCGTGTGTGTATGTGCATGTGTATGTATGTGTTTGGTCTTATGTATGTGTGTGTGTGTGTGTGTGTGTGTGTGTGTGCGTGTGCGCGTGTGTACCTGAGTGTATGTGTGTGTATGTGTATGTGTGTGTGTGTTTGTGTGTGTGTGTGTGTGTGTGTGTTTGTGTGTGTTTGTGTGTGAGTGTGTGTGTCTGCGTGTGGTTGAGGATTCGGGAAAAGAGATGGAGAAAGTATAATGAGAATTA